CCCGACTAATTTTTGTATTTTTAGTAGAGCCGGAGTTTCACCATATTGGTCAGGCTGGTCTCAAACTCCTGACCTTGTGATCTGCCTGCCTCAGCATCCCAAAGCGCTGGGATTACAGGTGTGAGCCACCGCACCTGACTTTTTTTTTTTTTTTTTAATAGAGATGGTGCCAGGCACGGTGTGTCCCATGCCTGTAATTCCAGCATTTTGGGACACCAAGGCGGGAGGATCATTTGAGGTCAGGAGTTGGAGACCAGCCTGGCCAACATGGTGAAACCCTGTCTCTACCAAAACTACAAAGATTAACTGGACCTGGTGGCACATTCCTATAATCCCAGCTACTCAGGAGGCTGAGGCAGGAGAATCGCTTGAACCCTGGAGAGGGAGGTTGCAGAGAGCCGAGATCGTGCTGCTGCACTCCAGCCTGGGCAACAGGGCGAGACTGTTTCAAAAATCAATATAGATAGATAGATAGATAGATAGATAGATAGATAGATAGATAGATAGATAGATAGATAGATAGATAGATAGATAGATAAATAGATAGCGAGAAAGAGAGAGAGAGACAGGGGTCTCCTTATGTTGCCGAGACTGGTCTCGAACTCCTGGGCTGAAGCCATCCTACTTCAGCCTCCCAAGTAGCTGGGACTACAGGAATGTGCCATCACGCCTGGCTAATTTTTATTTTTTGTAGAGATGGGGTCTCACTATGTTGCCCAGGCTGGTCTCTAACTCCTAAGTGCAAATAATCCTCCTGCCTTGGCCTGCCAAAGTACTGGGATTACAGGCATGAGCAGCCTCACCTGAAATTCCTTCTCCATCTGGTCACACGAGGACTAGGGTATGAGTGTGCCCCTGATGTGGCCGTAGTCAGGGTCTGATTGTCCAGTGCTGTGACCAACCCCAGCAGCTCCAGCCCAAGACATCTGGGGGCTGGGTTGAACCAGGTGGAAACATAGAGATTGGTGAAGTCTCAGAGCCTGTGGGGGCAAGGAGGGAAATGAGGTCTGTTAGACTTGCAGAGAGTGTCTGGAGAGCTGGGGTCAGTTTGGGAGAATGTGAGGGTGACTCAACACCAGCCCTGTGCTGGACTCTGCAGGTGGTTCTGGAAGTGTATTGCCGATGCCCCAACCTGGAACAACTCCACGGGGAAAAAGCTTCCTTTCTTTCTCCTCCCTGCCTTTCCAGTAGGAAGGGAGCAGCAGGCATTAATTTTAGTTTTTTGTTTGTGTTTTGGAGAAGCAAGTCTCACTCTGTCACCCAAGCTGGAGTACAATGGTGCCATCTCAGCCCACTGCATCCTCTGCCTCCTAGGTTTAAGTTTCAGCCTGCCTTAGCCTCCCAAGTAGCTGGGATTACAGGCACATGCCACTACACCCAGCTAATTTTTATATTTTTAGGAGATGGGGTTTCACCATGTTGGCCAGGCTGGTCTCAAACTCCCGGCCTCAAGTGATCCGCCTGCCTTAGCCTCCCAAAGTGCTGGGATTACAGGTGTGAGCTGCCACAACTGGCCAGCAGGCATTAATTTTGAAGCAGGTAAGTGTTTACAGGCAGTGCTAGCAGATGGGGGAGGAAAGTCCTGATCTGTAGCGTTTGCTGATTACTATCGTGTAAACACTGTCTGATCACAGCTGGTTTCAAGCTACCAACAGTTTAACAACTGGCTCACAAAATAATTGAAGATTCAGCATTTGGCTCTCTTGAGCCACAGCATACCACTGGTTACAGGTGTCTCTTCCTGGGCTTACCCTATGGAGAATTCATTCTGCCTTAGTGACCTCTAACATGGGCCTTGACCCGAGGGGTGATGGGGTGATGGGATATCAGACAGAGCTTCTCCCCTTTTGGGACCTCTCTGCCCC